TATTGCCTAGGCTGGAGTGCAGTGATGTGATCATAGCTCACTGCAGCCTCAAACTCCTCGGCTTAAGCCACTCTTCCACCTCAGGCTACCAAGTATCTGACAATACAGGCATGTACCTCCATACGAGACTAATTTAAAATAAAAATTCTGTTTTTGAGACAGTGTCTTGTTATGGTGCCCAGGATGGTCTCAAACTCCTGGCCTTCTGCAATCCTCGTGCCTCAGCCTCCCAAGTAGCTGGGATTACAGAGGCAACCAATGCACCCAGCCAGATTATATATTTTAACATAAACTTCATTGTTTCTAACTATACATAAAAATATGAACAGGACCAGAATGTTGTATAGTCTTGCCATGTGACAAGGAAGATAATAGTAGAATGAAATCATGGACTAATTACCTCTGAAGTTACGGGTAAACAATGTTGAGGCCAGAAACTCGTTCTGAAGACTTTTCCCATAGAGACAACCAAGTTTCTAGAACTTCCCTCTAAGAAACCTGGATGAGTTGTAATTATATGTAGAAGCAGTATATTAAATGATGCTGGGAAACAACCATTGAAAGGGAGTTCTGGTTCCTAATCTTCGTAAAAAGTGTAATGAATTGAATTTAAGAATGCATACTTTAAAATGTGGAGAGCATCAGTGAAGTCATCTGAGGTCTTCTAAACTCACCTGTGGATTTTCACAACATGCTGAGGCATATATTAACTTTCTAGGTGAAGAGATTTGAGCATAAAGTAAAATCTGAGGACACTAGGGTTTAACTGAGCTAACACACACACAATTAACCATAGCACTGCTAGATCTAGTCTGTTTCTCTTTAATGTTTTATCAAATACCCTGGCCATCTTCCTGAGGAAAATGGAGCTTGAATCTGATTTTAATCAACAGTGAAGGGTTTGAATACTTCTAAATTTTCCAGGTGGAATGAAAGTGTGTGATCTTTAAATGGAACTAAGGGCTCTCGTTGTCATCTTCAACTTCAAGAGAGTTTAATTTTAGGGGTTAGTATCACAAAGGATTGACAAGTCACACACTGAAGTGGTAATGGTCCTTTGAGAGGAGAACAAGAACATTGGTCTTCTCAAGGTGCTAAAGTGATGATGAGAGGCTTAAGTGTCCTTATATGTCATTAATGTGAAAAGCAAAGTATGTTCAAGTTGAATTTGCAGTGTCCTTACCATGACAAGTTTATAGCCTCTTACAGATTAATAGCATGGCTGCCAAAATTGCCTTGGTGCCTACACATTAAAGGTTCACAAATGAAACAGGTTTTTTTAATTTAACCTCTGAGAATATTTATTTATTCCCCTTCCCTATTTATTAGCTTTTTTACTGAATTGAGTAATTAGAACACTTTTCTTTTGCTGAAAAATGGCAAGTGGTAAGGTAATTTTTCCTTTCCCCTTCGTAGTAAACAGTAAATTGATTTTAAAAAAAGGTACTTCCACACATTAAAAATGGCACTAGAAAGACACATAGTGCTAAGCCACTTTAGAATGCAGATTGCTTAAGTCATCCACACTTTCAAGTTGCTGATCTCTTCGCAAAATTTGCAGTGCATATGTAGTTCAGCTTCAACTACATGATTTTGTTTACTTTACAGGATAGTGCTGACCAATAAGCAAATCATTTTTTAAAAAACACCCCAACTAGTCAATAAGTAACATGTTTACATGTGTTAGTTATGTTTAACATGTATTAGTCAGTTCTCACACTAATAAAGACATACCTGAGACTGGGTATTCATAAAGGAAAGAGTTTTAATTGACACACAGTCCAGCATGGCTGGAGAGGCCTCAGGAAACTCACAATCATGGCATAAGGGGAAGCAAACACGTCCTCTCATACATGGCAGCAACAAACAGAAGCGCCCAGAAAAAGGGGGAAAAGCCCCTTATAAAACCATCAGATCTCGCGAGACTTACTATCACGTGAACAGCATGCGGGTAACCGCCCCTGTGATTCAATTACCTCCCACTGGGTCCCTCTCACAACATGTGGGGATTACATGAACTACATTTCAAGATGAGATTTGGGTGGGGAACAGTCAAATCATGTCAGCATGTACTTATCTTTCTGAGTGATACCTCCTGCAATATGTGATAATAGTAGGAGGTGAAAGTCACTTACTCATTTTTAATTCTCTTTCTTGCACACAGAAGGATTGCTTAGATCTTGCCTGATTGTTTTTAGGTCTATTTTTAATATCTAATGCATGAGGTGGGACTAATTGATATGATCATAATTCTAGCTCTCGTCAATTGTTGAGTGACTCAGGGAAAGTTATGTTCTCTGATTTATAAATTCTCTGTGCAAAGAGAAGGTATCAAGTATAATGGACCTACTTTACAAGAATTTTGGGAAATGCAACTTTGAAAATCAAACAGAAAATGTTCCCAAACTCAAAGTGCTATATAAATATTTAATTATGTTAGCACTGATTAAAATGCCCAGTAGAGATATATTAATCTTGTTTTAGACCATCTTTTTTTTTTTTTTTTTTTGCAAGAAATTCCAGATAGACATTAAGCATCACTCTTGATTAAACATTTATACAAGTAAGTGCCTTGGTACTGCTGTTTTTGATTCATGTCTAAATAGCCTAGGGCCTAGGCACTTGTGGTTAAGTTTAATTTTCTGCAAGGATACTTTGTATCTTACATTGGAATGGTTCTTTAGGGAAACGTAAGCTCCTTTTGAGAGTAGTTTGAGGACAGTCACTGATGTCCTAGGGAAGTTGCTGCCAGACGTTTTGTTTCATGTCCTTGATATTTACTTCGTAAACAAGCTAACAAATGAGGGTTGAATAGTTTACTACAAGCAATGCTTGTAGCGAAGGGAGAACTGAGTGAGATTGGGCCCTGCACTGCTAAGGGGTAGAGGAGAGGGTCTCTGCTCAAGAGACTGTGGGAGGCTTTAGGTAGAATTTGCATCTCGAGGGGTGAGCCCTCTGAGCCTGCCCGGCAGAAAGTATTTCCAGAGAAACAAAATGCATCTGTCCAATCCACACCATCTCACCAGAGGACCCTCTAATAATGGCTATCTGACTATAAATACTTTTTGTTAAGCTAAGGAAACCACTGAAGTTCATTTGAAATGAAATGTCTGTGTTTTTTTTAGTAATTTACTAAACATCTTGAATCTTGTGGGCTGCCAACATGGTATGTTGAGATTTTTTCTGTAATCACTTATTTTGACTATTAATTACCTTTCCTTGTTTAATTACCTGCATTCTAATTCAGTCTAGCCTGTCCACTCTCTCCCAGTGTTGGGCAGCCCTTAACCGCAGGGACTGGGAGCAGAGAAAGGCCAAGATATACCCTTTTTTACCACTCCTCTTCATTCTTACATTTCTGCTTCTTTGGGATTGGGGTAGGGGAAGAAGACTTAAGGGAAGAAGTAAAATTATTTTTACAAGTGCTATTATAGGACATGTTTGATTTTGTATTTTGCCCCATGCGGTAAGTTCTCAAATGTGGACTTTGTTGTCAAGCTCAAGTGGGAGGCCACTCGGTTAGTGTCTGACACATCAGATACATCAGATATCCACTGGCTTGACTTCCTTGTGCCTGGTCCAGCAGTGCATACCCCAAAGTCTCTTGCTGCTTGGGTTACTGTGGCTGGCAGGAGGCCTCCTTGGGTCCTGCCAAGACAACTCCAGCTCAGCTGCCTTGACAGGGCTCTGCCTGTCCCAGGGGAGTATGATGTATCCTTGTCCTCCCAATGGTGGGGATGCTTATCACCTGATTGACTGCTGACTCCTCTCTAGTTTTGTTCTACCCTGCTCTAATAACCACAGATGGCACATCAGTAAGTCCACTGTATGGACTCTAATAGAATAAAATGCCAGTTCCCTAATATCTACAATTGGTGCTCTCTGGAAGCTATCATTAGTTGAATTGGGAGAGGTGGACCAAACTCAGAACATTCTCAGTCATCACTCACTATTCCCAGGTACCCCTCCAGTCCATCCTCTTCTGCTTATGATGACTCCTATGACACAGGAGTGGAAGTTCTGCCACCAGCCTCTTAATGAGTCCGACAGAGGTTTCTTGGGGGGGCTAGGAGAACAGTCTTCTCAAAGCACTGAACTAATGATGAGCGGCATCTCACCTTTGCTTAAAAAACAGTATTTTATTATGTGTGTTCTTCCTATTTGAAAAGCTTTAACTCTGAATTTCTTTCTTAATATCAACAACAAAACCTTGCTCCTTTTAGGCTTACAAAAGACTACTTAGTCTTATGGGTTCTCAAACTTTCTATGAGAAACATCATTCCCAACTTCTCTTCCACAGTCCTAAAACAGGCAGGGTTGTCAAAAGCATTACATGCTTTGACACTAAACTCCTTACACATAGTAAGGGCTCAATAATTAGTTCTTAAGCACTTACCATACAGACCTAATTCTAGTACAGTGTGGTACGTTGTACACAACATTTTTGTATTGGAATTACTAGCTTATGTGTATCTCCCATTTCACGGTATGTGCCTCCAGGAAGTAACAGTTATTACTATGCACGGAATTTTGCATGTAACAATTAGTTTCACAACATTCTGCCATGATTCTTGATATAAAAGCAGTTATTAACATTGTTATCTCTGTTGTTCTCTCCCCATGATATACTGATCAGTGAAAAAATGATTTAAGAAATGAGGAATTTAAAGACCAGATAGTATGGTTGATCAGTACCCTCAATTATCAATTAATTATATATTATAGTACATCATCCTGAAGACTTTCAGCATTTCCTAGATATGATATTTCTTACTTGGAACCTTGATACACCTTTGACTTTCAAATCTATGACATAGGGACAATTTTATCTATTATGCTATCTTAAAATTATGATTTTGGTATTTAATAACTAAATTACCTAGGATGGGTATACCTTGCACCACTTTGTTCAATCAGACATGAAGAAGAAAACTTACAACATAGAAATGCTCTAAAAATTTTGTGTTCATTTGAAAAATAAAGTACCAACTCTGCATTTGGTTAATGTTCATTTTATAAAATACCTTAAAAGAACAGATAAAATAGTTGAGGTTACATAATAACCAGAATTGAAAAGGAATGAAGAAAATATAAATTAATGGAACATGTGACTATTTTGCCACATTACACAAGTTTTAAAAAGGCATTTAAAAAACAATAAAATAGTAATTGGGGAAAAAACCCTTCACTCTATCGGTGTCTTTGTCTGGAAAACTTTCCCAGAATCACTAAAATTCCAGGTCAACAGGCAGTACCTGAATTATTCAAATATACTGTAATTTGCTTTCAAATCTGTTAGCTGAAGAGAAACTAACATTTTAACCAAGTTAATTCAGTGCAAATCAAAGCTTCAAGTTGAAAATCCGAGAGAAAAAATAATGTTCAAACTGTAGGAAATGCTTCTGGAACTGAAAAATAAAAAATTCACATTACGAACAAATCTTTGCAAGTGTTCTTGGTATATGAAATGCTGAGTTAACAAATGGGACCCTTTTAAGTTGCAATGAGGGCTCTATTATGAAGACTATTTGCAATGTGGGCAGAAGGGAAACGGAGAAGGAAGAGCTGAAGGTCATATTTGTGGAAGGAAATTCAAGTTAAGCAAAAACTGCTTTTACTCAATTCTAGAAAAATTTGGTGAGGGTATATCATACATTAGGGGAAAAAACAGATTATGGAGATAAATTTACTGGAATATAATTGAGGATAAGTCCTTCTACCTCCAGAACATGTTTGGGTTGGGGGAGAAGGGTTCACATTGGCCAGATATCAATAAATTAATTTGTCTTAATTTTATGAATTATATGAAATGCTGACTTAAAAAAAATTTGCGTTACCAAATCTTGAGAAATGGAAGGAATGTCTAACTTTTTGAATCACAGTGAAACAAAGTCTGGATCACTTCCAAACATCAACTATCAGTCGCTTTTACAATAAAAAAACATTTAATTATTTTCTCAAAAAAATTTTTTTTAGGTTTAATTTCATAGGTGATAGATAGCAATGGGTCTTTGTTGACAGTGTTTAATAGAAAGTTTTCCTCTTTTCATTCCATTCTGTATGAATTTTCGATTCATTCTTTTCAAATGACAATACTAATGGTTGCTATTGAGTACAAGATGCAGAGATTTTGGTGGAGGCTGGTAAATTTTCTCTGCAAAATAGATATCCCTCCCACAAATTTCAGGTCCAAGTTTGCTATATCATCACCAGTCCTTCTTTTTTAATTCTCACTGGAAATTTTCAAATATTATTTATAAATGGAATGAGAATGTGCTGTTTTCTAACATTCTTATTTTACATCATTCTCTAATCTATTAGGAATGTTATAACAATGTTATCACAATGAAGTGGCAACTTTTGGCTTTTAGACTGTACCTATCAGCAGCAATCATAAAAAGGCCAAAATAAACTGTGCTACTCCAAGGTGACATCTGAAACTGTTAAAACAAGTGAAAAATCACAATGACAAAAAACAGGGGTTCATAAAGCAAAAGAAAACGTGCCAGTACAATTTTAAAAGTGTAAGAAACTTCGCTCATATACCTACTTATGGGAAGAACATCTAAGGCAGACGAAAAATTCCCCTCCAGGGACATAACCAGCTCAGAACCATCTGAAAAAATTCATACAAAAGCAGAAATTACCCAAGGCCTGTGAGTTCTCATCTCATACCATGAAAGCAAGACTGTCAAAAAAAAAAAAAAAAAAAAAGAGTACAAGTAACTTTGCAAACAAATGCATTACCTCCTCATCCAGGGTCAACTTAGTCTACATGTCTTTTGTATAACATTAATTTCCACCAGATCTACTAGATGTTCAGTCATGTCCTTCTAAGTCCTGAAGGCAGGCTCACTATCTGATGCATCTTTGTATATCGCAGTGGGTGTGAAGTGAAAAGAGGAGACACAGAAATATGCACAAACCCATAATTAGTCCGTATTTAGAAAACTTTCTGTGGCTTCAAGCATTTACACAGAGATGATTTTATCTCATTTCTCCATTAATTTCTCATTAGAAATGAGTAACAGCTAATTCTAAATTCTAAAGCTTTGGGGGAAACTTTCCAGGCTTTGTCTTATCAGACAGACTTTGTCATTAAAAATACAGAAAAACAAAAATAAAACATTACGCTGGAATCAGCTTTTGAGAGTTTGTGCTTTAAAAACACAGTGCCTAACAGCACCAAGCACATCATAGTTTGTAGATTTATTAAGAGTAATAACATGGTGTCTGAAGAACCAACCACCATTTTGTAAAAAAGGCAAAACTGTATTAATTTTTTTCACCTGATTTGATAGAGCAGTGTGGAGCAATGAACGAGAGAATCTGCAAATTAAATATGACCTCTAATTTGATTGCAGAGAGGAAATTACTGAGAACTTTGCAAAAAACATCGCCACAGTAGCCTTGACACTTAACAGTGCATCAAAGAGTTAACGTTTCCACTGCAGTATGAACTGGTTCCCACAGCTCTCAGGAGCTAGAATGTAATCACTCAAATGGGAAATGAACTCTAATTCCATTTCAGAAAAGGTATGCCCATAATTTTATCTGAGAATTATTAATATATTTCAGGGAGAGTGCCCTCTCATTCAGCATCCCTCAAAGTAATGTAGGCATAAGTATCAGAGGACCTTGTTATATAACTTCAGTACAGCACTGTCTTATACAAGTGTTACATCTTCCACATCTGTAGTAGCTGCTTTCCAATATTGCAGATTTTTACAGTTGTGATACCCCGGGATGACAGACATGAGAATATGGAGGATTAAAGGTCACAAAGCTTAAACTAAAAAGGGAAGCTCCTTGATGTTATGTGAAAACCCCTTACAAAAGGCAGTTTATTGACAAATAAATGCTCTATACATTCAGGTTTTCCCAATCTCTCAATAGTGATGGTTTCCAAAGAAGAAACTCAGTAGTGAAGAACACATAATTTTTTTTTTGTTTGCATTAGTTTGATCAGTTGAAAATCAGAACCTTTAAAGCATCTTGTGAATGGGAGAAATGGAACTGGACCTGGGCAGGGCCTGGGGATGGTAGAGAGCCAAATGAATAAATGATTTAACTGTTGAAGTGGACAGCAAGAGAGCTGGTGGGAAATGTTACAGCAGACCTGACCACGCTACAAAGGGTCTGTAAAGAACACAGTACAGGTATCAAAAACCCAAAACAAAACTAAACTAAAAACAAGAACAAACTGCAACTTTGCCAAATTGTAAACAAGGAAAAGCATTTCACAGGTTCAAAGTTCAAGGGAAGTAAACGTCTTTAAATTATTTTTGTCAGTTCAACCCTGATTTAAAAATATGGCTAGCAAAAACAAGGAAGCCACAGCAGTCGACATCCTGAGCAAGCATCGGTCTCCTTTGAGAAGCTGCACTCCCAAGCCTCTTCTCAAGCTGCTACATGAGGAGGAGACACTTCTCTCTTGAATTCCATCTCAGTTCTCTCATTTCCACACTCCTGGAATATGTCGACTGCTTTCCATTTTGGTGTCTACAGTTCTGGTTGCTATAGATTTAGACGTGGGGATACTGGAGGAGGGAAGGCAAATTCTCGGAGGATGCTCCGGGCAACTTCGACATTATTCTGGGCTATCTCTAAGGCTCTCTTCACCTCTTCAAAGGCATAACCCTCTCCCATGAGTTTTGCAATTTTTGCATCGACATTTTCCAATGCCGCCTCAGGCCCATGGGGTTTTCTGTGGTGAATTTCTGGTGCAGTCCTGCGGGGTCGTGGTTTAGGGGGTCTGGCTGGTGCTTGTGAACCATCTGTGTAGATTTTTAAAGAGAGATACCATTTAGACAGAGATAAAAATGAAGGCAAGACAACATAACAGCATTATCTCATTTCCTATGGAAATATTATTTCTTGTTTTCTTTACAAATAAAACTTTCTTTTTCAATTTTTCCATACTATTGTGGGATAGGTAGTATTATCCTCATTTTGAACAAGAGAAAATTAAGGTACAGTGTGTTGGTAGTTCCACTGAGAAATTTACACATTTCCTTCTCTATTCCACATTTTATTCTTCAGGCCATATGTAGTCAGAGAGATAGAGAAAGAAAAAAATAATCAAAATAACTATCTAAAAAAGGAAGGCTTTCACTTTGTTTAGCAATATAGTTCACGTTCTACTACAGCACAGGCTCTGGTTGATGGTTCTCCAGAGGAACAATTTTGCGAGGTTTCTATGAGAGGAAACTATGTTTACAAGCTCACAGATATCCATGGCAGCCCATTCCCACAGGTCCTGAGTCCCATCCATGTCACAGCAGAACTGCTCTAAAACAGATGCTCTGTAGCATCTTCCTGGCTGATTTTTCAAGTTACTAATCTGTGCCTTACTGATGCTAGGAGGAAAAAACAACAACAACAAAACAGTAGATGCTTTGACTCTACTGTAGTCAATAGGTTGAACAGAAGGAAACTCAGTGCTTTGCTCCAACACTTTATACAGATTGCAATGTAAGAAGTTTTGCTCAAGAACGAGCAAACCTAGAACAAATACTAGGAGTAGAGAATTGGGTTCTAGATCAGTCCCTTGGTGACAATACAGCCTCCAGTTTAAACCAATGACACTGGTACCCATGAATGGACAGTAACCTTAAGGAAAAAAAAAAGGTTCCAGGTCATGGGCTAGCTAACTTGACAGGGCACTTTCATCATGTATTTCCTAGTTATGTATAGCACTTTACCTTAAAAGCCTAGACAAAAAATATACACACACACTATACATATGCATGTATACATTTTGTTTTTTGTTTTTTGTTTTTTTTTTGAGATGGAGTTTTGCTCTTGTTGCCCAGGCTGGGGTGCAATGGCGCAGTCTCGGCTCACTGCAACCTCTACCTCCCGAGTTCAAGCAATTCTTCTGCCTCAGACTGCCAAGTAGCTGGGATTACAAGCGTGCACCACCAGGCCTGGTTAATTTTGTATTTTTTTAGTAGAGACAGGGTTTCACCATATTGATCAGACTGGTCTTGAACTCTTGACCTCAAGTGATCCACCCACCTTGGCCTTCCAAAGTGCTGGGATTAAAGGAATGAGCCACTGTGCCTGGTCCAGATATACATTTTAAAATGTCAGCTTTATGTCATGAAATACACTTATGGATTGAAGACTATCTAGACAACAATATTTAATATCTTTCTCCTAGACCACTGACAAATGCCAAACAACAAATTCAAGGACACAGTTAAGTGAATGGTGATCTGAGGTTAAAAGCCAAATGTCTCGTACTTAATGTTCCCATCTTGTCTCCCCACTTCTGCTGCCTCAGCCACTTTCCCAATGGCTTCAGGAGATACTGTAAGCGGATATTTTCAATAATAATAAATTTAAATAATAAAAGCTAATCTAATGTATTATTTAATATTTTTCCTTTCTAAATCAAAAGACGTGTATTTTTCCATGAGAAGGTAACTTGTAAAAATATCACCCTATATACAATTCTAGCAATATCAATATAACATATATAAAACAAAGCCTCTAGGATAAAAGCACTGTTTCCAAAAATAGTATGTCTTTTTTTTTTTAATGAGATGAAGTCTCATTATGTTGACCAGGCTGGTCTCGAACTCCTGTCCTCAAGCAATCCTTCCATCTTGGCCTCCCAAAGTGCTAAAATTATAGGCGTGAGCCACCATGCCCGGCCATGATGACAGTCTTATTTTAAATTATTCCTTTTTTGTAACAAAATGTCCAATTTTAAAAAACATTATAGCTGTAGACAATGTATATTAAAGTATGCCCATATGTAAGAACATATAATTTCTGGTCCTTGCTAATATCTATACTGTTTCTTGGATCTGTAATTAAACATCTCAAACTATTATCGTCTGCTAAATTGCATCTCTTAGTATGTTTTGTAGTTCCATTTATTTTCCTGTTAAGTATTTTCATTATATCATAAAGGAATGGACAATAAATTGTGTTTTGCTTTTAACCATTTTCAAAAACTATTAGAAATTATTGAAAGCTTTCCTTTAATCAATTACCAAAAAATTCATACATTTAAATCATGTCTCCTGAGACACTTTTAGATGAGAAAAGTACCTAGACTTTGATACAAAAGTACCTAGACTTAAAAAACAATTAACTTGTTTTCTACAGGTAATTTTCTAAGAGATTTTTAATAGTTATTTTGTCTGTCCAGGATACTGAGATGTGCACACGAATGCCAGGCATGTTTGAAAAGAACAGCTGTGTATACAAGTGGGATGAATTCATGACAGCCAGGAATGCCTCTAATAAATAGTATAATTGGCAATTAAATCTTAAATCTTAAATCTCAGTTTGGCCCCTAAGATCTTGGGCTAAGCAATTTACTTTCACAATTCTCATTGTCCAAATCTACTTTTATATATCTGTGTTTAGAGGTATTATTTATCCCTTTTCAATCAGGTAGTATGATAATTAATGTAATATACAGTATATGGACTGAGGAGACCATTAAAAATAAAGAACAATGAATTAATGTTTATAATGCCAAGTGCTATACTCAAGTGCTATAGACCAGCAATTACTATAAATTAACAGGAATGCCAGAGAAGTATGAAAGAAGTTTTGTTGTGAGTATCTGATTCTAGAGAAAGCCTTCTAGAAGAATATTAAAAAGCAAGATCTGGTGCAACCTGAACTACTAGTTGTTAAAAAGGGGATCATTTCCGCATTGACCATAAAAGCAAATTGCTTAGAACCAATCACTCTGTCTCTTCCCAAAGCTCAGACGCAGCCTTCACTTTCTCCAATTTTCTTTTTCACAGTATCTAAAAGTGGATTACACCAGGTCCTCATTTACTTTAGCACTTTCAAATGTGTAGGATAGTGGAAGGAAGCAATGAAATGAAGACGAAACTATCTTCTGTTCCCCTAAAAGTTATTATATTGCAGTTTGGGAGCACATTGAAATAACTATAAATTTTATCAACCCTATGGAATTTCTGTACCTGAATACACATCATCCTTAAAAATAGTTATTTTGGAAGAGCATGTTTGTTCTAGTGCTAACATCCATGTTCATGGTATTTTTGAACTCTTACGACTAATTACAGCAGTATCAAAATAAGTACAAGAATGTGAGCCACAGGATATAAGTAGTACATCTTCTGGGGTACCAATTTTATTAAAGGATATAAGGTCATTAATATTTTAAAGCACTGAAATGAATACAGATACACTAAAGAGTAAAATACAAAGTTTGCACAAATTTTTGAGATAAAACAGACTTTGAAACAATGTCTTGCACTAAAAAACTAAATATTGACCTCTTCTACCTAATGCCCCAGTCCTTTGTTGTTCACTGTAAACTCTTCTTTGAGAAAGAAAGATTTGAGAAGCCCTGGTTTCGGAGTAAATTTTGATTCAGCTTTCCTTTTCTGAGCATATAAAAGAATAGAGTGATGTGGCAGATCATCAATAAGACAGTTACTATACCATTGTTACGACTTGAGACCATCACTGCAACAGTTACTACTGTTACTACTTGAGACCATCATTAGGAGAGTTACTACTGTTACTACTTGAGACCTTCACTACACAGTTAACTGCTGTTACTACTTGGAGACCTTCATTACAACAGTTACTACTGTTACTGCGTGAGACTGTCATTAGGACAGTTACTACTGTTACTGCCTGAGTCCCTCACTACAAGACTGAACAAAGGGACAAACACAGAAATGATAACAAAACAAAACAAAACAAAACAAAACCAAAAGAAACTGTTTTAAGGAAAGGGTTGGGGAAGAAGAAGAGTTCCCTGCTTCTAGTGAGCAAAGGCAGCACCCTGAGCTTCTACAGCCCTTTGTATTTATTGGGTAGAAAAAGCAGGGAGGGGGAGGAGGTAATGATTGGTCAGCTGCTTGACTGATCACAGGTTCACATTATTGTTAACAGGCTTCAGATGTGCCTAATCACAAGCAACACTTGTGCCTGGGTCTGACTGCCCTCAGCATCCCTTCCGGGCAGCAGATGCAGTTTGTCAGTTTCCCAACATTCTTTTAGGAGAACAGTTTGCTGTTTACTCGTATAGCCTCCAGTGGTATACTGAGTTGATCACTACCCTCATTCTTTCAGCCTCCAACAGAGTGACATACAGAACAATACTGGATGGCATGGGAATTAGCATAACATGGTTGGAATAATACCTAGAACGATTACTCGAGGTCATACATTCTAGGCGGGGGCAATCATTGAAACTTGTGGGATGAAAAAAAAAAAAAAACAATTTTAGATGCTAATATGGTTTGTGGCCTTCCCAAGAGCCATAGTACATACAGATATATCTCTATCTCTATGTCTACTAAGCACATCTGTGGTATTAAACTGTCATTTTTCCTGGGGACAGAAAGCTTATTAGGAAAAAAAAAAAACAAAAAACAAAGCAGTGTCCAAAAGACCCATAGGCAGACCATAACTTTTTAAGTGAGACACACTGCTGTATATCTACAAAACCTCTATTTAAAGAATTGAGAATAGTTCATTTCAGTGGCTGTCAATTATTTTGCCACAAAAAGCCTTTATTACTCCTCTCATCATATAAAGATTGGGTTGAGTTTTCTTTTTGTCTATATTTTGAAAGATGTGTCTAATAAGCAAATGCTATTGTATTGATGAATACATTTTCCCATTTTCTATTATAGTGGATCATGTTCAACAATAAGTATAACACTGAGCTTCTATATATCTAGACAATAGCAAAGGGATTTAACGTGAAAGTTTTCTTGTATATAAAGTTAGGGTTTCTGTTATGGTTTCAAAATGTTAAAAA